ACTACTATGATACTACTACTACTATGATACTACTATGATACTACTACTATGCTACTACTACTATGATACCACTACTATGATACTATTACTACTATGCTACTACTACTATGATACTACTACTATGCTACTACTACTATGATACTACTACTATGCTACTACTACTATTATACTACTACTATGCTGCTACTACTATGATACTACTACTATGATACTACTACTACTATGATACTACTACTATGATACTACTACTATGATACTACTACTATGATACTACTACTACTATGATACTACTACTACTATGATACTACTACTATGCTACTACTACTATGATACTACTACTACTATGCTACTACTACTGTGATACTACTACTATGCTACTACTACTATGATACTACTACTATGATACTACTACTACTATGATACTACTATGATACTACTACTATGCTACTACTACTATGATACTACTACTATGATACTACTACTACTATGATACTACTACTATGATACTACTACTATGATACTACTACTATGATGCTACTACTACTATGATACTACTACTATGATACTACTACTACTATGCTGCTACTACTATGATACTACTACTATGATACTACTACTATGATGATACTACTACTATGATGCTACTACTACTATGGTGATACTACTACTATGATGCTACTACTATGATGCTACTACTACTATGATGATACTACTACTATGATGCTACTACTACTATGATACTACTACTATGATACTACTACTATGATACTACTACTACTATGCTGCTACTACTATGATACTACTACTATGATACTACTACTATGATACTACTACTACTATGATACTACTACTATGATACTACTACTATGATACTACTACTATGATGATACTACTACTATGATGCTACTACTACTATGATGATACTACTACTATGATGCTACTACTATGATGCTACTACTACTATGATGATACTACTACTATGATGCTATTACTATGATACTACTATGATGCTACTACTACTATTCTACTACTATGATGCTACTACTACTATGATACTACTATGATACTACTACTATGATACTACTACTACTATGATACTACTACTATGATACTACTACTACTATGATACTACTACTATGTTACTACTACTATGATACTACTACTATGCTACTACTACTATGATACTACTACCACGATACTACTACTACTACGATACTACTACTACTATGCTACTACTACTATGCTACTACTACTATGCTACTACTACTATGATACTACTACTATGATGCTACTACTACTATGATACTACTACTATGCTGCTACTACTACTACTATGATACTACTACTACTATGATACTACTACTATGCTACTACTATGATACTACTACTACTATGATACTACTACTACTATGATACTACTACTATGATACTACTACTATGATACTACTACTACTATGATACTACTACTATGATACTACTATGATAGTACTACTACTATGATACTACTACTACTATGATACTACTACTATGATACTACTACTATGATACTACTACTATGATACTACTACTACTATGATACTACTACTACTATGATACTACTACTATGCTACTACTACTATGATACTACTACTACTATGCTACTACTACTATGATACTACTACTATGATACTACTACTACTATGCTACTACTATGATAATACTACTATGATACTACTACTACTATGATACTACTACTATGATACTACTACTATGATACTACTAGTACTATGATACTACTACTACTATGATACTACTACTACTACTATGATACTACTACTATGATACTACTACTACTATGATACTACTACTATGATACTACTACTATGATACTACTACTACTACTATTATACTACTACTATGATACTACTACTACTATGATACTACTACTACTATGATACTACTATGATACTACTACTATGCTACTACTACTATGATACCACTACTATGATACTATTACTACTATGCTACTACTACTATGATACTACTACTATGCTACTACTACTATGATACTACTACTATGCTACTACTACTATTATACTACTACTATGCTGCTACTACTATGATACTACTACTATGATACTACTACTACTATGATACTACTACTATGATACTACTACTATGATACTACTACTATGATACTACTACTACTATGATACTACTACTACTATGATACTACTACTACTATGATACTACTACTACTATGCTACTACTACTATGATACTACTACTATGCTACTACTACTATGATACTACTACTATGATACTACTACTACTATGATACTACTATGATACTACTACTATGCTACTACTACTATGATACTACTACTATGATACTACTACTACTATGATACTACTACTATGATACTACTACTATGATACTACTACTATGATGCTACTACTACTATGATACTACTACTATGATACTACTACTACTATGCTGCTACTACTATGATATTACTACTATGATACTACTACTATGATGATACTACTACTATGATGCTACTACTACTATGGTGATACTACTACTATGATGCTACTACTATGATGCTACTACTACTATGATGATACTACTACTATGATGCTACTACTACTATGATACTACTACTATGATACTACTACTATGATACTACTACTACTATGCTGCTACTACTATGATACTACTACTATGATACTACTACTATGATACTACTACTACTATGATACTACTACTATGATACTACTACTATGATACTACTACTATGATGATACTACTACTATGATGCTACTACTACTATGATGATACTACTACTATGATGCTACTACTATGATGCTACTACTACTATGATGATACTACTACTATGATGCTATTACTATGATACTACTATGATGCTACTACTACTATTCTACTACTATGATGCTACTACTACTATGATACTACTATGATACTACTACTATGATACTACTACTACTATGATACTACTACTATGATACTACTACTACTATGATACTACTACTATGTTACTACTACTATGATACTACTACTATGCTACTACTACTATGATACTACTACTATGATGCTACTACTATGATGCTACTACTACTATGATACTACTACTACTATGATACTACTACTATGATTCTACTACTATGATATAACTACTATGATGCTACTACTACTATGATACTACTACTATGATACTACTACTACTATGATACTACTACTACTATGATACTACTACTACTATGATACTACTATTACTATGATGCTACTACTATGATACTACTACTACTACTATGATACTACTACTATGCTACTACTACTATGATACTACTACTACTATGCTACTACTACTATGATACTACTACTACTATGATACTACTACTATGATACTACTACTATGCTACTACTACTATGATACTACTACTATGCTACTACTACTAGGATACTACTACTACTATCCTACTACTACTATGATACTACTACTACTATGCTACTACTACTATGATACTACTACTATGCTACTACTACTATGATACTACTACTACTATGATACTACTACTACTATGCTACTACTACTATGATACTACTACTACTATGCTACTACTACTATGATACTACTACTATGCTACTACTACTACTATGATACTACTACTACTATGATACTACTACTACTATGATACTACTACCACGATACTACTACTACTACGATACTACTACTACTATGCTACTACTACTATGCTACTACTACTATGCTACTACTACTATGATACTACTACTATGATGCTACTACTACTATGATACTACTACTATGCTACTACTACTACTATGATACTACTACTACTATGATACTACTACTATGCTACTACTACTATGCTACTACTACTATGATACTACTAATACTATGCTGCTACTACTACTATGATACTACTACTATGATTCTATTACTACTATGATGCTACTACTACTATACTACTACTATGCTACTACTACTATGATACTACTACTACTATGCTACTACTACTATGATACTACTACTACTATGATACTACTACTACTATGATACTACTACTATGATACTACTACTATGATACTACTACTACTATGATACTACTACTATGATACTACTACTACTATGATACTACTACTACTATGATACTACTATGATACTACTACTACTACTATGATACTACTACTACTATGCTACTACTACTATGCTACTACTACTATGATACTACTACTACTATGCTACTACTATACTACTACTATGCTACTACTACTATGCTACTACTACTATGCTACTACTACTATGATACTACTACTATGCTACTACTACTATACTACTACTACTATGCTACTACTACTATGCTACTACTACTATACTACTACTATGCTACTACTACTATGCTACTACTACTACTATGCTACTACTACTATGATACTACTACTACTACTATGCTACTACTACTATGCTACTACTACTACTATGATACTACTACTACTATGCTACTACTACTATGATACTACTACTACTATGATACTACTACTACTATGCTACTACTACTATGATACTACTACTACTATGCTACTACTACTATGATACTACTACTACTATGATACTACTACTACTATGCTACTACTACTATACTACTACTATGCTACTACTACTATGCTACTACTACTATGCTACTACTACTATGATACTACTACTATGCTACTACTACTACTATACTACTACTACTATGCTACTACTACTATGCTACTACTACTATACTACTACTACTATGCTACTACTACTATGCTACTACTACTATGATACTACTACTATGCTACTACTACTACTACTATGATACTACTACTATGCTACTACTACTATGATACTACTACTATGATACTACTACTACTACTATGATACTACTACTATGCTACTACTACTATGATACTATTACTACTATGCTACTACTACTATGATACTACTACTGCTATGCTACTACTACTATGATACTACTACTATAATACTACTACTACTATGCTACTACTACTATACTACTACTATGATGCTACTACTACTATGATACTACTACTATTATACTACTACTATGATACTACTACTACTACTATGCTACTACTACTATGATACTACTACTACTATGATACTACTACTATGATACTACTACTACTACTATGATGCTACTACTACAACTACTACTACGATGATCATGTCGCTACTACCCCGCTGTGCCCCACCCACCACCACCACCCCACCACCACCACCACCCCCCCACCACCACCACCACCCCCCCACCACCACCACCACCACCCACCAGTGTCTAAGAGCGGTGACGTGTGCATCTCCATCCTGCACGAGCCGGGCGAGGACAAGTTTGGGTACGAGAAGCCCGAAGAGCGGTGGCTGCCCATCCACACGGTGGAGACCATCCTCATCAGCGTCATCTCCATGCTCGCCGACCCTAACGGGGACTCTCCGGCTAACGTGGACGCCGCTGTGAGTAGCCTGGGGGGTAGGTTGGGGAGTGGGTGGGTGGGTGGGGGGGTAGGTGGGGGGTAGGTTGGGGGGGGGGGTGGGTGGGGGGTGGGTAGGTGGGGGGTAGGTTGGGGGGGGGGTAGGTGGGGGGTAGGTGGGGGGTAGGTTGGGGGGGGTAGGTTGGGGGTGGTTGGTGGGGGGTAGGTGGGGGGTGGGGGATATTTTGGGGGTAGGTGGGGTGGTAGGTGGGGGGGTAGGTTGGGGGGTAGGTGGGGGGTGGTAGGTGGGGTGGTAGGTTGGGGGTAGGTGGGGGGTAGGTGGGGGGTAGGTTAGGGGGTAGGTTGGGGGGGGTAGGTTGGGGGTGGTAGGTGGGGGGTAGGTGGGGGGTGGGGGGTATTTGGGGGGTAGGTGGGGTGGTAGGTGGGGGGGTAGGTTGGGGGGTAGGTGGGGGGGGGTAGGTGGGGGGGGGTAGGTGGGGTAGGTTGGGGGTAGGTGGGGGGGGTAGGTGGGGGGTAGGTGGGGGGATACGACACTTGACGTCGCCTCAACGTGCACATAGCCTGGCACGGGCGCAGTGTTGACGTCACCGCTCCTTAGTGGTGAATGGCGGTCATTGTTGTTGTTGTGACTGTCTGTGTGTGTGTGTACACTGTGTGTGTGTGTCTGTGTGTCTGTGTGTGTCTGTGTGTGTGTGTGTGTCTGTGTGTGTGACTGTGTGTGTCTGTGTGTGTGTGTGTGTCTGTGTGTGTGTGTGTCTGTGTGTGTGTGTCTGTGTGTGTGTGTCTGTGTGTGTGTGTCTGTGTGTGTGTGTCTGTGTGTGTGTGTGTGACTGTGTGTGTGTGTGTCTGTGTGTGTGTGTCTGTGTGTGTGTGTGTGTCTGTGTGTGTGTGTGTGACTGTGTGTGTGTGTGTCTGTGTGTGACTGTGTATGTGTGTGTGTGTGTGTCTGTGTGTGTCTGTGTGTGTGTCTGTGTGTGTGTGTGTGTCTGTGTGTGTGTGTCTGTGTGTGTGTGTGTGTGTGTCTGTGTGTGTGTCTGTGTGTGTGTGTGTGTCTGTGTGTGTCTGTGTGTGTGTGTGTGACTGTGTGTGTGTGTGTGTGTAGAAGGAGTGGAGGGACGACCGTCAGGGGGAGTTCAAGCGCAAGGTGGCTCGCTGCGTCCGCAGGAGCCAGGAGATGGCGTTTGAATGACAAGAGGGCCACCTCCTCATCCACCTCGTCACGACGACTCCTGGCTTAGTGTGAGACACACTCATCCACTCATCCACCCACTCATCCACTCACCCACTCACTCACCCACCCACCCACTCATCCACTCACTCAGCCACCCACTCACTCACTCATCCACCCACTCACCCACTGACTCACCCACCCACTCACTCACCCACTCACCCACTCATTCACCCACTCACTCACTCACTCACTCCCCCACTCACTCACCCACTCACTCACTCACCACTCACCAACTCACCCGCTAACTCACTCACCCACTCACCCACTCACTCACCCACCCACTCACCCACTCACTCACCCACTCACTCACTCACCCACCTACTCACCCACTCACTCACCCACTCACTCACCCACCCACTCACTCACTCACTCACCACTCACCAACTCACCTGCTAACTCACTCACTCACCCACTCACCCACTGACTCACCCACCCACTCACTCACCTACTCACTCACTCACTCACCCACCTACTCACCCACTCACTCACCCACCCACTCACTCACTCACCCACCTACTCACCCACTTACCCACTTACCAACTCACTCACTCACTCACCCACCCACCCACCCACCCCCTCACCAACTCACCCGCTAACTCACCCTATTCTCTTTCAGATGATTCTTCATCACCGGGCTACCAGGTTCGGTGATGGTGATGATGGTGGTGGTGGTGGTGATGGTGGTGATGGTGGTGGAGAGGCAACCCCTACCCTCATCACCCTCACCACCCTCACCACCCTCACCACCCCCTGACCTCCCCCCCCCACACACACACACACAGACACACACACACACACAGACACACACACACAGACACACACACAGACACACACACACAGACACACACACACAGACACACACACAGACACACACACAGACACACACACACACACACAGAGACACAGACACACAGAAACACACACATAGACACACACACACAGAGTCACACAGAGTCACACACACACAGAGTCACACAGAGTCACACACACACACACAGAGACACACACACAGAGACACACACACACAGAGACACACACACACAGAGACACACACACACAGACACACACACAGACACACACACACAGACACACAGAGACACACACACACACACAGAGACACACACAGACACACACACACAGACACACACGCACAGAGACACACACACAGACACACACACACAGAAACACACACATACACACAGAAACACACAGACATACACACACAGAGACACACACACAGACACACACAGAGACACACAGACACACAGAAACACACAGAAACACACAGAAACACACAGACACACACACAGACACACACACAGACACACACACACAGACTCACAACAACAACAACCGCCATTTGCTACTAAGTGGCGGTGACATCACCACGACGCTTGTGCCAGGCTATGTGCACCTTGAGGCCACGTGAAGTGTCGAACGCCCGCCGGCAGGAGGTCACGGGGCAGACCCAGCAGGTGCCACGGGTCGACTGACTGAGATGACTGGCTGATGCACCACCTGTGCCACCTATTGTGCCAACCTGCTGTGCTTTAGCTACCCGGCGCTCCGCTCGTTGTTGTGAGCGTCGCTCCTCCGCCCTCCGTTGTTGTTGGAGGGCGACTGCCTCCAACTGCCCAGTAGCGTCCTTCACGAGCCTTCTCCACAGAGGCCGATCTTGACACCGCTGGTACCGGTCATCGGCAAGTCCACTCAGCTCCACGTCCTCCTGTACCACATCACTCCATCTCTTCTCTAGCCCGTGCCGCGCCCGCTTAGTCCCCTCGATCCGGCCGAACAAAAGCTGTTTCGGCATGCGGTGGCTGGGCATGCGGGCTACATGACCCAGCCATCGCAGCCTTCCCCGCCGGAGGAGCTCACCGATGGGACCCTGCCCAGATCTTTCAAGGATTTGTGAGCTCACACAATCCAGCCTGGTTAAACCCAGGATGGATCATAGGCAGGCCAGCCTAAATGTTTCTAACCGGCGAAGATGTTCCATTAAGGGGGTCCACGTTTCGCAAGCATAGAGAAGGGAGGGAATGACCGTGGCCGAGAAGACCTGAAGCTTAGAGCGGAGCGACAGACCAGGTAGCTTCCACACAGCGTTACGCAACCGATGAAAAGATATTGCCGCTCGACTGATTCGGAGTGAGACCTCTGCTGTTAAACTGGAGCCGGTCATAAGCACACTGCCCAGGTATGGGAAACTCTCCACTCTCTCCACAACTACCCCATCACCGATTAGGAGTTGTGGGGGTGGAGTGTCCGATGGTACAAAATACCCAGGCAGGTGCTTAGTTTTGGTTGGGCTGATGGTAAGGCCCCATCTCTTAGTAGCACGCTCTAGTCTCAGCAGCAGCGTCTCCAAATCCTCCTCTGAATGAGCAGCTATTACCAGATCATCGGCATACATAACGTGGTTGAGCAATAGGGAGCCATCCCTTGACCGCACCCAGGCATCGATCAGCCTCCCATTATACCTGTACCATATGGAGATTCCCCCGGTCCAGCTATTGAAGGCTTCACGAACTACGTGGTCAAAATAGATGTTAAATAATGTGGGAGCCAGAGGACATCCATGTCACACCCCAAGGTGTACAGGGAATGGCTCTGACTCCCGGCCACGTAGTTTTACCCGGGCCCACTCACCATCACGAAGGTCCTTAATGATCGTGAGTAGAGGGTCAGGGACTCCAAAAGCACGAAGAACAACCCAGAGCCCAGGCCTACTGATGGTATCATAGGCCTTGACCAGGTCAATAAAGCAGAGATGCGGGTCTTGCTGGAATTCCCTACACCTCTGCTGTAGCAGACGGACAGAAAATATGGCATCTGTGCAGGACCGCCCTTTCCTGAAACCGCATTGGGGCTCCGCAAGCCTCTCCTCAGCGTGCCTGGCAAGGCGATGTTGAATAATCCTTGCCAGGACCTTTCACGGCACACTGAGGAGTGAGATGCCCCTGTAGTTGTTACAACACACACACACAGACACACACACAGAGACACACACAGACAGACACACAGAGACACACACACAGACACATACACAGAGACACACAGAGACACACACACAGAGACACACAGAGACACACAGAGACAGACACACACTGACACACACACACAGAGACACAGACACACACAGACACACACAGACACACACACACAGAGACACACTGCAACTGCTGATGGACTGTTGTTGTTGTTGTGTATTTGGCCTCCTCCTCCACCTCTAGACTGTAACCCCACCACGACCACCACCACTACCACCGCCACTACCACCATCACTACCACCATCACTACCACCACCACCTCTACCACCACCTCTACCATCACCACTGCCACTACCACCATCACCTCTACCACCGCCACTACCACCACCACTACCACCATCACCTCTACCACCATCACTACCACCACCACTACCACCATCACCTCTACCACCACCACTACCACCATCACTACCACCACCACTACCACCATCACCTCTACCACCACCACTACCACCATCACTACCACCGCCCCTACCACCATCACTACCACCATCACTACCACCATCACCTCTACCATCACCACTGCCACTACCACCATCACCTCTACCACCACCACTACCACCGCCACTAACACCGCCACTACCACTACCACCACCTCTACCATCACCACTGCCACTACCACCATCACCACCAGTGACGATTTTCTGAACCGGTCCTGGGCCTCCCCTAGGTCGACTCGGCCTCAAACGAGCTACCTGGTGTAGTGGTGGTGTAGTGGTGGTGGTATAGTGGTGGTGGTGGTGTAGTAGTGGTGGTGGTGGTGTGGTGTAGTAGTGGTGGTTGTGTGGTGGTGGTGTAGTGGTGGTGTAGTAGTAGTGGTGTGGTGGTGTAGTGGTGGTGGTGTAATAGTGGTGGTGGTGTAGTGGTGGTGGTGGTGCAGTGAACATCGCCAGCACTGGGAGAGAGACAAAGGCGGCCGGGCGTGGTGGTGCTGGTGGCCACCCCCTCTGTGTGTAGCCACAGTGCCGGTAGCCTCCATAGACGCTGCTGCTGCTACTCGCTACTAGCAGCACTTGCCCCTACAGCCCTGCTAGAGGCTACCTGGGGGAGCTTTGTCTTTGTTGGACTTCACGGCAGCGGACGAAGCTAACCACGGCCAACCTAAACACCACAACAACCTAAACAACAACCTAAACACCACAACAACCTAAACACAACAACAACCTAAACACAACAACAACAACAGTTCAAAACACGTGAGATTTCAGTCTCAATTCTATGCCTGTCTGTGGGTCTCTGTGTGGGTCTCTGTGTGGTGAGTCTGTGGGTCTCTGTGTGGTGAGTCTGTGGGTCTCTGTGTGGTGGTGAGTCTGTGGGTCTCTGTGTGGTGAGTCTGTGGGTCTCTGTGTGGTGAGTCTGTGGGTCTCTGTGTGGTGGTGAGTCTGTGGGTCTCTGTGTGGTGGTGAGTCTGTGGGTCTCTGTGTGGTGGTGAGTCTGTGGGTCTCTGTGTGGTGGTGAGTCTGTGGGTCTCTGTGTGGTGGTGAGTCTGTGGGTCTCTGTGTGATGAGGCTGTGGGTCTCTGTGTGGTGAGGCTGTGGGTCTCTGTGTGGTGAGTCTGTGGGTGGTGAGTCTGTGGGTCTCTGTGTGGTGAGTCTGTGGGTCTCTGTGGTGAGTCTGTGGGTATATGTGTGGTGAGTCTGTGGGTCTCTGTGTAGTGAGTCTGTGGGTCTCTGTGTAGTGAGTCTGTGGGTCTCTGTGTGGTGAGTCTGTGGGTCTCTGTGTGTCTCTGTGTGGTGAGTCTGTGGGTCTCTGTGTGTCTCTGTGTGGTGAGTCTGTGGGTATCTGTGTGGTGAGTCTGTGGGTATCTGTGTGGTGAGTCTGTGGGTCTCTGTGTAGTGAGTCTGTGTCTCTGTGTGGTGAGTCTGTGGGTATCTGTGTGGTGAGTCTGTGGGTATCTGTGTGGTGAGTCTGTGGGTATCTGTGTGGTGAGTCTGTGGGTCTCTGTGTGAGTCTGTGGGTCTCTGTGTGTCTCTGTGTGGTGAGTCTGTGTCTCTGTGTGGTGAGTCTGTGGGTCTCTGTGTGGTGGTGAGTCTGTGGGTCTGTGTGGTGAGTCTATGGGTCTCTGTGTGGTGGTGAGTCTGTGGGTCTCTGTGTGGTGAGTCTATGGGTCTCTGTGTGGTGGTGAGTCTGTGGGTCTCTGTGTGGTGGTGAGTCTGGGTGAAGCTATACGTGAGCACGTGGGGGGCCAGGGGTGAACACGTGATGGGGCTGGGTGGGGGCACGTGACCACCGCATCACGTGATTCCCCCGCTGCACACGTGGGGCACACCACGTGGTCTGACGTCACAAAGGCCTCACCCACGCGGTGTGTGTGTGGGGGGTTGATGGAGGTCTTCTCTCCGTGTGCGGGTGGTTGTTATTTTTGGTTTTAAAGCAACGGGGACTTCTTCTTCTTCTGTTCTTGTCGTTTGCAAATGTTAAATAAAGTTCCTGGTTTTTGAAAATTTTCACTCGGCCGTCGACGTTTCGGTTTTTAACCTCCCCAGCCCCCCCCCCAACCACCCCACCACCCAACCACCCACCCAATACAACCACCCAACCAACCACCCAACCAACCAATACAACCAATACAACCACCCCACACAACCACCCAACCACCCAACCACCCAACACAACCACCCAACCACCCAACCAACCACCCAACCAACCAACCACCCAACCAACCACCCAACCAACCAACCAATACAACCACCCCACACAACCACCCAACCAACCACCCA